AGAGTAGCTTTTGTAACCCTGGAAGGTAGGGTGAGGGCATCCGTGGCTAATTAAGAAATGATGAGGGAAACATGTAAACTTTATAGCTAGTCGTTTCTGGAAAATAATGGGAAGGTGCGGTTTACCAGACATTGTCATTCCCTTTGTTTGAGTGAGTCTTTTGATCGGAAGGTCAGTTGCCAAATTTCCAAATCTTCTCAGAGGATCTCCCAGCACAGGAATCTTGGTAGGTGTGGTCTCACCTGAGGGCACATTAGAGAAAGGGGCACGGTTCTTTCCTGCTTCCTTGATGATGTTGCTGCTCATGGGGAGTCGGGGTGCGCTAGAAGGGGGAGGTGAAGGTGGGGACACAGTGAGCTGCTTCCTGGAAGCTGAGCAGTCAGCCGAACAGCTGTCCCACTGGGCTGTCCCCTGGGTGTGGCCTTGCTCTCTGGGGTTTAATTTCCTGCTCCTATTTTCTCCCTTGTTTTTCCAACCATTCCATCATCTGTGTGGGAATTAGTATTTACTCCAGGGATAATAAATTTGTACTTACCAGTTTCATCAGTGTGTCTGGTTTTTAAGAACTTACTGCTGTGTTGTGCACCACACCATATAACAATGTTCGTGGTACCACTTCTGCTTTTTCTGCCAGTTCTCTTCTATTTTAATCTGCACCATGGGTTCACACACCATCTTACACACTCATAATCCCCAAGAGTATCTCTCCTGAACCCAGGTACTTCTTATGTCATTCAACTGTTTGGGAACTTTGACGTGGAATTCTTATATGAATGTAACATGTCCAAACAGATATGTTCTTCCTGTACACAGTTTCTCAGGCCCCAAACTTTTGATTCTTTCTTGTTGTCTTTTTCACAGCCCGCATCCAGTTCCTTCACACAGCTGAGGAAAGCACACCTTGTACTTGACAGCTTCTCCACATTTTCAGGGCTGATCCTAGCCACAGCCTTGTCTCACATAGACCACTTCTGTGGCCTTGAAAGTGGGACTAAGTATTGCTTTCAAATAAGCTTAGAATGTTTGGATTTGGATTTATTTTTGTAAGTAAAGGGTTATTGGAATGCAGCTATGACCTTTATTTACATATTGTCTGTGACCACTTTTGCACTATGGCAGAGTTGAGTAGTGTGACAAAGGCACTGTGGCCTGCAAAACCCCAAAATTTGCTAACTGGTCCTCTATAGAGAAAGCTTGTCTATGCCTGAGGGTGTTTTTTTATTTTGTACATTTTTGTTGATCATTTTCATTGTCTACCTAATCCTCAGCCCCCACTGACAACATTCTAATCTCCATACTGCTTGTTCTTTCTCTTTTAAGAGGGAAAGTTTTGTTTTAAGTCAGGGGATCATTTTAGTTTTATAGAAACATTGCAAGGCAGCACAGAGAATTTCTCTATACTTTCCCACCAGTTTCCTCTAGTGGTAACAGCTTTTATAACCTTAATACACTTGTCAAAACTATGAAATTAGCATTGTCACATCCCTATTAACTTTATTCATCTACCACCAGCATTTCCACTAATGTCTGAATTCTGACTCAGAATTCAATACATTTTCTTACATGGGATTTGGTCATCATGCTGCTTTAGTCTGCTCTGATCTGTAGCTGTATCTCAGTTGTTTTTGTTTCTCACACACTTGACAATTAGAGTTGTAAAATGGCACTTAGTTTGGGTTTGCCTGGTGTTTTTGCATGACGAGCCTGGAGTTAAGGGTGTTTATGGTCTTCATAGATGTGAAGTTTTATATAGCTAAACAGGATATCAGGTTATGTCATGTTAGCAACATGACTTTTCATTGATAGTGGTAATTGTGTTCACTTGTTAGGGACAGTATTTGTCAGGCTTCTTTACCTAAAGTTACTATTTTTCTCTTTTCCTTCTTGATTTTGGAGGTAAATCACTATTAGAACCCATCAGCTTGTTAGAATAGTGGAAGATACAGGTGGCATAGGCAACCATATAGTTCTGGCTTTGTGTGGTCATTCAATATGTATTTCTAGAATTGCCACTGTAGAGATTGCTTGTTCATATTAAACATACCTGTTTTCTTTGTTGTCTTCTTGAATAAAACAAACTGTTTTCCCCCTATGAAGCCAAGTTTGGCCAGGGGGAAAGAGATAGAATCATTTGTTGTGGCTTGCTTTTCCCCCAGAAGGGACTCTACACAAACCCTGTGTGTCTTCAATCTTATCAAGGGCTCCCAAGAAGAAAACAGAGTTCTCAGACAAGATTGACTTTAAGTGAGCTTATTTTTCCACTGTGTGTCTTTGCTAGCTAGCACTTTTTGAAAGAAGGGTAAAAGAAAATATCAGGCAAAAAAAGACAGACTAATTCTCAAATAAAAATTAGAAGTCACTGCACAATCAATATCAGCGAAAAATGTTAATCCTCTTAAACATTCTTAAGAACTGTGATGATTTGTAACAACATAATGTTTTGTTCAGCTTGATGCTGCTTGTCCTTTTCCACTCTTTCCTACTTCGTGCCTCCTTTAATTCCTACCTGACATTAAATTCTTAACACATGTTCCAAATATACTAAGCACATGCTTTGGTTTACGACATGGACCAATACCCCTCGTCTTATCTAATTATCTAAGTGTGTGTTTGTGACCTTATCCTGACATTAAAACAACAAAATAAGGGCACACAAAGAGCCACAGTGGCTGGGCAGTAAATGCCTTGATGCTGCTTATTTATGTCTAACCCTGCAGATTTATCCACACACAGTACCCACGCATCAGGGCAGCAGTCACTCCTTGCTCAAGTTGCGATTGCTCAACCCTCCTGGTATTTGCAGACTTTTGCAGCTACTGTTCACAAGGTCTTGGCCACAGCACATTCATTTCTCTCACTTTATTACCATCACATCTGATTCCAATTTGCTACCAAATTGAGTTTCCAGTCTCAAGCCTGACATTCAAGCCGTCAGGTGGATTAGCTCCTTCAGCTTGGTTAGCGTGGAGGCTTCAGGTCAGTTGACAGTGGCCTATTAACGTCCTCTGCGCCTCATCTTGGAACCTTGGCGGCCGTCCCGTGGAGTAGCAGTGCTGGGTTACCCACTGTAACCTTTCTGCTTGTTTAGAACTCATCATTCTAGACCTATTGGAAAGACTTCTGATTAAAAACAGAGCTGGTTTTTATCCCTTATCTTGCCATTTCAGCAGCTTCTTCTCAGAGAAAAGCAGCTAGCTTATGGTCAGGTCATCTGGTAGAATGTGATTGATTTGAACTATTGGGGATCCTTCATTTGGCCCTTTGCCTCATATCTTATGAGTGATCTCTTTGCATATAGAGTTAAAATAACACCTGACTTATTTTTTTCCCTGTTATTAATGATAGCTACTCAAGTACTCCTTTTCTTCTTATACTGCTGTAAAATCAACTACTGGACAGAGCAATTTTTTACTTATATAAGCACTTGGCCTGTTGGTATGCAGTGGGTCTCAAATAACCCTTTTCTAAAAGAAACAATTTGGTGAATGATGGATTCTGGGGAGTTTTCTCTCTTTCTTTCTTATTTAAACTTGAATACAAAGCTAATATCTCAGAGCTTGTCATAACTGAAGATCCATATATAGAGAATTACTCATGGGCTTTCTATTTGCATTTCAAATCCTAAAGAATATCTGTTTTGTACAGAGACATTTGTCACCAAGGCCTTTGTAAATGAAGGTACATTTATGTTTCAGAATCAAGGAGCCAGATTTCACAAACACTGTAATTTCAGGGGGCCACTAAAGATTAAACAAAAGTAAACAAAAAAGTGAAGCGTTTAGTCCCTGAGCCTTGAAACCCTTAAAAAAAAAAAGTTAGGAGGAATCAGCCATTCTGTTCTAAAAATTGCTCATTGTTCTTCTAATTAAACAGTGATAGAATTTGTTAACTACAAAAATATACATAAGTCAGATCCTTCCCCTCTGCTCTCAAGACCATTTTCTGTTCTGTAAGCTGGGCTGAAGTAATTTGTACAGTTTAAAAGTAAGAACTGAGATCACTGTCTGTGACAAACACTCAAAGAGGCGATAAAAAATAGGGGACCAGAGCTGAGAGGAAAACACCTATGAAGAGTTCATCTCACGCTCCTGAGTGGCAAAATAATGATAATAATAAAATACAGTTATGAGAACAAAAAACCAAATTTAGTTGAATCTTTGGAATTTATGTTGTATTCAATTTTTGAGCTATAACAGCCAGATGACTCATTGCTTCCTGTTCTTTAATTACTATTATCAAGTAATCAATCTGACCACTCAGGCTTCACAGACTTCATCAGTGACTGGAAGTATTGCTGATTACCTTTTTGTTAGGTTGACTTACTAGTTTTTGGTTGTTTTTTTTTTTTTTTTTTTCATTTTAGTTTTATTGGTGGTGGTGGGTAGGTAGATAATGAACCTACTTTGAAACAAGTATGAGAATAACTCTTTTAAAACTATAAAGCTCCTTATTAAATTTTGTTGCTGTCTGGTTACCTTTTTAGCAGTTTATTAACCTAATATCAAATATCCTAAATGATAAAATATATTTGTTATAAAAAATAGAATCAGAAGGAAACTTTTGGTCTACTTTTTGGATAAAGTGTAATCTTTGCTATACACAGTGATCTGTGTGAGCTTATTTATGTTGGGGCAAATGGTCTGGTTTTACTGCTGTTTTCATTTTGTCTCTCATTTAATTATAAATTACAAGATTTAATTTCTCTTTATATACATTTGGTCTTTGAATACATCTTTGATTCTTCCGATTTTCCTTACACTTCAATATAGGACCATGGGACTTTACTGTGGTTGGTTTGGGAGGGTTGATATCTTTTCCCCAACAGAACTTAGATACAATGTTTGTAATGTAAACTCAATATTATGATGTTGAAGTCTTCTTAGTGTGGAAAATGGCAACTCAAGCATAATAAAGGATCATACACTTCATATTTTCCATGTGGTATCCTTGTCGTCTAGGGTGAATGCAGTAATTCATTTGCTTGCTTTTTTCTTTTACAGAAGGAGCTGAGTCTCCCCAGAAGAGGAAGCTTGTAAGTAGCACTATTTTGTTAACTATTTTGGACACAGTTTGTAATGTGATCATTCTCTGACTTGTTGGGTTTTTAGTGGAAAAAGGATGATTAATGATAATCAACTGAAGTAAGAAAGCAAAAAACTTTGTATTTATGTATACAAGGCAAGTATGAATTATTTCAAGATAACCTGAAGAAAATTTCCAGGGTTTGTTTCCTACTTATTCCAGGAGGAATCTTGATTTTTAAAAGTTCCGATCTTTTATCAAGCAAAAACATTATTTGGTCTGCAGACATTATAAATTGATATCTCTCAAGAATTTGGAGATTGGTGATTATTCTTCATACTTATAAAAATTATATACTTTTGCACTAGAATTGGTAAAGACTGAGTCAGCTAAACTTACTACTACTGGAGCTTGATCTTACTAAATTAATTCATGTAAGGCTCTTTTATTAAAATAGCAAATTTATGAATCCTGACTTAACTTCTCTGTGGTGTGTTTTGACCTTTTATTTTTATTTATTTATTTTTTTAAAGATTTATTTATTTTTGCGTACAGTACTGGGGTACAGGCCAGAAGCTGAGGGGCAGTGAGAGAACAGGCAGATTGACGAAGTACACTGCTGAGGGGAGCAGCGGACGGGTCGGTAGAGGTCTGCCACGCCATGTGGTCACCTCCGGGGCAGGTGGGAATCGAACTCATGCGGAAGTGGCTTTAGCTTCTCAGTGCTGTGCTTTAACCCGCTGCGCTTTTCCCACTTGCAAGTTGCGATGAAATTGTCTTTCATAAGCCACTAAATTCAGGGTAGATTTATTTTCAGCTACTACTGTGAAAAAACTTAATATTTGATTTTTTATCTAATTTATATTGAAGAATTTAGTGGATGGTGTCCACTTACTTCTTAAAGAAACTAAGTATAACCCTTAAGTTTATGTAGGTCTCAATTTAGAGGATTAGAAATACATGTATATGCTGACTGTTGAAATATAGAATTCACACCATTGACTAAAATTTGAAAAAAAAATGCAGCTTTTGTATCTAGTAACTAAAATTTCACCAACCAGAAATAATGCGTTACTATCCATTTGGTGCTCTTCCCCACTCCTTTCCCCTCCCCCAATTTTTTTTTTTTTTTTTTTTTGACAAATTTAGGCTGCTAGAAGGAGACCTGTTCAGTATTGTTGGGGAAGGTGTCTAGGTAAAATTTTACTATTGCTAACTTAAATCTCTGTGAACTAAAGACTAATGGTCTAATAGTTTGTCATAGGAAATACTCTCAGGATCAGAAAGCTTCCCTTTTATTGCATCATGATCAGGAATCTTTCATCTAAACTTGGAAAGGTTAACATTTTTTGGTATTTTCCATCATGATGAAAAATAAGAAATGGCAATAACAAATAATATGAAATATCTTTACTGAGAAATTCTTCTCTCAATTAAGATTAAAATGTTGTAGGTTTGTCCTTTATACTTTATTTTAGGACTTTAGAACCTCAAACAATCATTTTGGAATTTTAAATAAATTGCACTTGCTTTTTTTCCCACTCTGTTTTGAGTTAGTATGCTTTCTATAAATTATTATTAAGGTAATATTAATTAAAAACTTAGATCCTCTTTTGTACTGTGTAAGTCTCAATTCTGTTAATGTTAGTCACAAGCTGAAGGGAAAAATACAAAGAAAACTTAAATTTCCCTATTGGAAGCCTAGAATCTTTCATTTAGAGAAAAAGGATGATGACATAAGTTTGTTTGAAGTCCATACCCTAAATACTTGGTAAGAGAATGATGGAATTAAATGGAAGCCATTTAAAATCCCCTTCCTCATAAAAATCAATATATCTGTCAATCATGATGAGAATAAAACACAATACAGATGTCAATATAAATCTACTTTTCAAAAAGGGAATTCTGGAAAAATGAATGTTTTCCAGTGGAACAAATCAAAAATAAACATCCTGTTTTATATTTTCTATAAACACAAATATTCCTAAAAGAATTAATGATGTATAATATAGGTGGTCTGGGAGTTAACACCACTCAACACTTTCAGGGAACACAGAATGCCAGTGATTCCTCTTTTATGACTTTGAGAAAAAGAAAATACTTTAAAAAATAGATGCTAGAGTGATTTTAATACAAGTCTTATAAAGAAGGGCATAAGTGTGTCTTTATTAGTTATTGGTGATAGCCATCATAATGGTACCTGACTATTAAACTTATTAACACAGCCTGTTTATTTACTGCATAAATGCTTTTGATTCCCATACTGCCTTCTCCCTGAAAGATTGTGTACTTGATCCTGCTGTTCAGTTGTGTCTTTTTTTCACACTGATAGTGGGTAACTGCACAGTGTGATACAGTAGTCACTGTCTTTGGTTACACAGCAATGCCACTGAGATTGTCAGGGGATATGTACCTTAGAAATGCTAGGCTTTTAGAACAAGGAGCCTGATTTTGTTACATTCTGACTTGTATATGGCAAAGGATAATACTTAAGTGAGTCTTTAAGATTAAAGAAAATAGTATTATTTAAGCTTAAGGATGTTTTCTGTGTTGGGAATTATAGGATACACCTATTTATAAACATATAAATATATAGTGATATAATTTATATACAAATGTACATATAAAATTATATCACTATATATTTACACAGCTTTATAAACCCTTTGCAAATAAAAAGACAAAGAACACATTTTCATTTTATTAGTTAAATGTTTAAAAGTGTAAACTGACCTAAAATAAAGTAACTGAAAGCCCTACTAAAATTATATTTTTTGGTCATTTCTCAAAGAGTTAACTGGAAGACTGTGTTGTTTCATGTAGATTTTTTAAAGGCAATGCTGGTGACCTTTATTTTATGGTGCAAAGGGCAGCAGACTGGAGAAGTCCAGGAAATGGTTTTCCAGACAAGGTGTTACTAGCTAACCAAGCAGCACCAGGTACATTAAACATTTTCGATTGTCTTTTCTAGCTTCTTAACAACTTCGAGATCTCACACCCCATTTTACTCCAGTTCCCTTCTTCCTTTCATAAGTAACAGTTTGCCAAGGCTCTTGGTCCTCGTTCTTTCCAGCATTTCCCTTGTCTATATCCTTGGAATTAAAGGTGCCATGCTCTCCACTCCCTTTCCTCCCAGCTACCTGTCCAGAGCTACATAGCCTTTGAATAAGTCATAGCCTTTGAACAAGTCATATTGTGAACTACTAAATAACAAGTAGAATGAATGTACTAGCATATAATTATAAGAAACAGCACTTAGGAAAATCTCAAAGTAACTATTAGATACGGGACACTATTTGCATTGTAAAATGTAAAAATATGCAAAACAAGATATGGCCTTTTTGAAAATGCATTTATAGTAAAAATATAAAAACATGTATGGGAAGCAAATTCACAATAAAGCTTACTTATCAACGGAGAGGAGAGAATGAAAGAAATGGGATTTTAGTAGGCTCAACAGGGAGTTCCGTATATATTACGGATAGGATGGTATCTACATGTGTGTTTATAATACACATCTGCATTTTGAT